GGGGGGGGGAACGCGTGGTTCAGTTAAAGCTCAGACACCGGCGTTGTGCGGTCATGCCAAACTGGAAATTTTTCCGAGCAAAATATTTACTCAGTTGTTTSGAGGAAGTGGAGGCCCGCGGAGGAAGGCTTAACTTAGAAAAGTGATATTCTGAGGGGCACGTAGACAGCTGAGAACCGCTCTGCAGACAGRAAACAGACATTACTCAGAGTTTTACCTACAGGAGCCAAACTGAGACAGATTCATATCATCCAATTCTGTGCTGTTCATGCTTGAGTCTTAAACTAAAATCATCTCATGATTAGAAATGACGCCACGCAATGTAGCGAATCATCTGTTGGTGCTTGGACTACATCCTCAACAACTACCACACCAAATTTCAGCTCAAAATGTGTAAAATTCAATGAGGTGTAGCTGTTTTTGTGTAGGCTAGCGTTGTTCAGCTGTGGTGGCCATCTTGWATTAGCTTGAATTCAAAAGTTAATGGGTCCATACCCTATGTCTTCTGGTATATATGTCCTCCAGAAACTCTGGTCTCTGATACCTAAGTTACCTGACACCTAAATTTCCAGGTACCTATATTTCCTGGTAACCAATTTCCCTAGTACCGCTGTTCCTTAACACGTTACCTGAGACRTATGTTTTATGGTATCTATGTTCCCCAATATCTATGTTTCCTTGARCCCAKGCTCCCAAACACYAATGTTCCCGGTACCTACARTATGTTCCAGAATATCTATGTTCCWTGGTACCAATGTTCCCCAGTACTAATGTTCTTTGGTACCTATGTTCTCCTATACCTATGTTCTTTGGTACCAATGTTCCCCAGTACCTATGTTTCCCAGTACTTATGTTCTTTGGTACCTATATTTCCCAATATCTATGTTCTTTGGTACCTATGTTTCCCAATACATATGTTCCTTGGTACCTATGTTTCCCAGTACCAMTGTTCCCCAATGTTCCTGAATACCCGTGTTTCTTGGTATCTATGTTCCCCAAATATCTATATTTCCTTGTACTCATGTTCACAAACACCTATGKTTCTGGTACCCATGTTCCCGAATACCTATGTTCCTTGGTGTCTATGTTTCCCAGTACCTATGTTCCCCAATATCTATGTTCTTTGGTACCTACATGTTCTCCAATACCTATGTTTCCCCAATACCTTTGTTCCTTGGTACCTATGTTCCCTAATACCTATGTTCTTTGGTACCAATGTTTCTGAATATCTATGCATCTTGGTATCTATGTTCCCCAATATCTACAGTATGTTTCCTTGTACCCATGTTCCCAAACATCTATGTTCCCGGTACTTATGTTCTTTGGTACCAATGTTCCCCAGTACCTATGTTCCCTAATACCAATGTTCCTTGGTACCTATGTTGCTCTGGGTTGATAATATAAGTCAGTGAACATATGTACAGAGAGGAACATATGGATCTGGGGAACATAAGGAAGATCCTCTGCCWTTGCCTTTGGGCAACAATAAAACTRCTGTTCAGAAAGCAGGCAGTGATGTGAGAATCCCTCTGCAGAGCTGGAAACAGACATTACTCAGAGTTCAGGGCCATCAGCAGTTTTTACCTCTTTCTTTTCCAACTGACTACATGGGCCAAACTGAATCAGATCCATAACATCTGATTCTGTGCAGCAGGTGTGTTTTTACATCACCGGAGAAGCGGAGAAAAGCCGGTTTTAYAAAAAAGAAAAAATAAGGAAACGTGAGCACGGGAAAGGCAAAAGATGTTGATCTCGGTGTCTAAACAGCTGAAGTGAAAGTAAAGAGCCGAACTCAGCAGAGATCAGGTGCTTTGACCCCTCAGGGATGAAAGGTCAGCCACAGCTAACTTGCTTTCAGAATTACCAAACTGCTCCCGGAGACCCCTGAGCTGCAGCAGATTAGCCCCCCTCCTGTCCTTCCCCATTTCTCCATGGCGTCTTCCTCCCATCATTATTTCCCTCCCCTCCCCTCTCTCGCCCCCTCACATCGTTAGCATTTAGATAGTTGAGAGCAGAGGAGCTTGGGTAATAGGCTACCCCCCTCCCACCCCTTTCCCTTGCCTCCATTCCTCTTTCTAGTCTTTCTCAAATCAGCTGAAGTATGAGGGATTAAATCAAAAGAACAGTGATGATGAGAGCAACTGCAAGGCAGAGAAAAGGCGGAATCAGGAGGTGGTACGGGGCGGCGGCGTGTAACGCTTGATCGGCTGTGAGCTCATTAACCCGGGCCTTGACAGAATTGATGTTAGAGGTGATTGGAGATTATCACATTTAGGAGCTACTTCATCCCCTTATCTCTCTTCGTTTCCCCCCTCCTCCTCCTCCTCTTTGCCCTTTTTCTCCTCCCTTCTCCCTCGTGGTTCTCTTTCTCTCAATTTCATCCAGGTCAGCTGTCCTCAGTTTCATTCTCCTGGGTTTGAAGAGGAAGKAGAGGKGGGGAGACGACGCGCAGATGCCATCAACACCGGTTCCCGTGTCTGCTTGATCTCCTAATTCTGCTTCATTTAAACTTCATCAACTGTTCCACTGGACCGGAAGCAGAGAAGAATGAGAACAGCTTGTGTGGAAGCAGCTTTTTCTCCCTCACTCCTTTCTTTTTTTTGTTGCTGTTGTTGTTCGATCTGAGATGATATCCCCCGCAAAGCTGCTGCAGTCAGTAACCCACCCCTCCGCACCCCATCACTTCACCTAACCACCTGAGATAAAAACATTTACTCATGCACAGACACCTGGAAGACACGATCAGATCYCTATGATTCCCGTTAACGCCTTTTAGGAAATTTTTAGTCTCTTGAAACACGACGGGATTACAAAGAAAAACGTTAAATTTTGGAAAAAAGTATTTTCTGATGTTACCTGTTGACTTGTTTTAGGATATCTATAGTCAAGACACGAACAGATGTTTGATTCTTGTGCAACTAAAGTAAATGTTTCAATATTTGTGTCTAGGTAACTGTTAAACGGCACTTAYCTCACATCCTGTTTCCAGTCAGTTGACCTGCGTCCACTTACCTCATCAGCTGCTGCTCAGTAGCTTTTCTTCCTGGTCAGTTATCTCCTCCACTGTGAGGACAATTTGTCCYAACAACCGAATGGTCTCACCTCAGTCTTAGTGGTCACATGACGATGATTTGCTCTGGCAAGTCCGACTCAGTTTCTTTACTGTATTTTCCAAACTATTAGTCGCTTCAGACTTAACAGACAGATTACACACAGAGTAAGTTTAAACAAATTATTTATTTTTATTTCGCACGAGTTCAACTAAACATCTGCAGCAGGATACAAAAAAACAAGCTACGGTACCAACAACAAGTTAACATTAGATTACCATCCTCTGTCGTCCTGTCCTCTCGTCATTAATGTACTAGTGCTGGATGGTCCGACTCAGTTTTCAGTACTTCTGTTTCAAGTTTGGTATAATCTATGATTGTTGYGTTGCAAATAAAATRAAATAGGATTTGTGCRTTTGAAACATTTTGATCTTCGCTGACATCTAGCTGGTTCTACAGAAACACAAGCTGGACCCAATGCAACAAGCTAGTTATCGGTAAGTTCACCAATCTCATTCCACATCACACGATTAGCTTTCTTACACTGCAAAAAAATGTCCACCTAACCAAGTTTTAAAATCTTATATCAGCCAAAAAGTCTTTTTGATCTTGTTTTGAGACTGATTTACTAAACAAGAACTGATTGTGTAAGAATAATCATCTTGTTTTCAGAATGTGTAACATTATTTGTCTTGCTAGTCTGAAAATTTGACAATAAATTAAGTCAAAATCTTCTGCCAACGGAGTAAGAAAATTTTACTTGGTAAGATTCTTTAAATACTTGATTTGACTCAATTTTTTCTTATTTCAAGAATCTTACTAAGTAAAATTTTGTTACCCCATTGGCAGAAAAATTTTGACTTAATTTGAGTCACATTTTCAGGCTAACAAGACAAATAATCAAGATGATTATTCTTACACAATCAGTTCTTGTTTAGTAAATCNGTTTTAAAATCTTATATCAGCCAAAAAGTCTTTTTGATCTTGTTTTGAGACTGATTTACTAAACAAGAACTGATTGTGTAAGAATAATCATCTTGTTTTCAGAATGTGTAACATTATTTGTCTTGCTAGTCTGAAAATTTGACAATAAATTAAGTCAAAATCTTCTGCCAACGGAGTAAGAAAATTTTACTTGGTAAGATTCTTTAAATACTTGATTTGACTCAATTTTTTCTTATTTCAAGAATCTTACTAAGTAAAATTTTGTTACCCCATTGGCAGAAAAATTTTGACTTAATTTGAGTCACATTTTCAGGCTAACAAGACAAATAATCAAGATGATTATTCTTACACAATCAGTTCTTGTTTAGTAAATCAGTCTCAAAACAAGATCAAAAAGACTTTTTGGCTGATATAAGATTTTAAAACTTTGTAAGACGGACAGTTTTTGCAGTGTAATTTTCTTCAGCGCAGTAAGAGTTTCACCAGTTCCTCACAAGCTCTTCATTCACTCCATACTTGCTTTCTGCTGCTCACTTTTTTAACTGGTAGGCTACAGGAACAACATAAACCACAGTTACCACAATCCTCAATTTACTACAATTTACTCCTTGGTTCATGTCAGGCGGTATGAACTAAACACATCAGTCAGAAAATGTCAAGAAGATGAAAAAACAGATATTTCACTTTAAACTATAAGTCGCAGGACCAGCCAAACTATGAAAAAAGTGTGACTCGTAGTCCGGAAAATACAGCTAATGTGCACTTTTCAACAAAAATAACAATTCCACTGAGGTTTAACAAAATACAAAACAAAACAAAAATTATAACAAAAAAGGAAAACAAAAATTGAATAAAGAAAAATAAAGAAATCTTAGGCTTACCTTCCTGCCCACTCTCCACCGATGCATTATTCAGCTCCTCCTTGGACTCATGGATCCTGRTTTTCAAAAAGCAAAAAGACAAAAATACATTTTTTTAAATAAAAATACCTGAGACTATCTTATTTCAGTGCTAATGCCTTGAGGTTTCCCGTTTCATTCATGTACATTTTTTCACATAATAAATATTCTAAAGTTTTACTCTTTCTGTCGTGGTTTTGTTTTGTTTTTGTGCTGGCACCTGTGAGTCCATTTACTGCCCTCTGTGATGACAAGATCAAAAGAAGAATCTTCAAATTTAGATTCTGTTAAATACCTAATTTCCTGCCTCTTATGAACATGGATATAAGCAGAAAATTCACCAACTGAACCTTTAACTTTCAATATCAACACATAATTATGAGTTTTTACCAATAATAGCATAAAAGGAAGAGAATTAGTGCTTGGCAGATTAGYTTTTATTGTAACAATGGTTCAACTTCTTAGCAATAAATCTTATAACTGGCAGCACCTGTGTGTACCAGAAGCTCAAAACAAGTAAGTAAACAAGTAAGTAAATCTATAAAATACTCAGTATTTCTTTAGGAACCATTTAAAAATTGGAGAGAATAAATCCTCACGTTCATCAATGTCGCCCAGGTACGCACAAACACTTGACCCCCCGGCCACCTGGACTCCACAGCCGACACATGGCGTCGGTCCTCAGAGAGCCCACTTCATTACAAACATAGATTGGATTATGTCTTCCAAAACAGACTGACCATGTCCAATCACTCAAGCGAGCTTTTAAATAAAGAATATGCACCTTATGTCTGGACCGGTGGGTCGAGAAGGTTGACGGCGCGGTCGCTCGGAGACCGGCCCTCCTGGGGGCCGCTACACGAGGCTGGAACAAAAAGAAAGAAAAGCAGGGAGGTGAGGGGGGGAGAGCGAGAAAGAGAAAGAAATGTCTTTTAAATGACATCCCCATTGTGAGCCGGAGCAGGACGATGGCACTTTGCAAAACTGCTAACAATGAGCACAGGAGAAATCCCTTATCCTACAGGGGCCTGGCAGCATGCTCGCCATTACCATAGTCATTTAAATACAGTAATCTCATTTTCTGCCTCAGCCGAGGGGGCATGCTAAATTTCCCAGAGTGAAGGGAGGCGCGTTCAAGGCTGGCAGGATTACTGACTTTAACCAAATTGGACGTGTTTGTCTGAGTTTTTGGGTTTATTTTAGCAGAGGGCAGGAAAAAAACTACACTTCTAAATACAGTAAGTCCTGAAGATCATCTGAAATATGGAAACTTTAGTGATCCATACGTTTTATTCTTACAATACAATGCTTTCTAATGCAAAGGGTTTTCTTGCTTCAAATTAGTACAGTAGGGTGCTCCTCGACCTGCATGACCCCATCCGGACATTTGACCACTTTTCTTTGCACAGTTGGTTCCTGTCACACATTTTTAATCGGGTTGAGGTTCAGAAACAAACTGTAACGTGAGTCCAAGTTTCAGCCGTCCAGCCCACATGTCAAACTCAAGGTCTACAAGCCAAATGTGGCCTGCCATGTCACTTTATGTGGACCGCAAAAAAAAAAAAGCAGTTGTGCTCAGGGCACCCAGATGAGTGGCACCGGGCCATGCATGGACAGAACATGCATGCTCTACCCATTCAATCCAGTAACTTTATTGCTGGGAGAATGCATTTTTTGCCGGTTAATTTTGCTTGCAGCATCATTGTAGTGGGAAGTGGGAATTTCCCACTTACGTTTCAAGATCCAAGAAGTGAGCTTCTCGYGACTCAGCAGTGAGTAAAAGTCTCTCTTTTACTTTTAATAGTATTTCTGTTTTATTTATTTGATATTCAGTCTGTTGTAATCGTAGTACTTTTCAGTTTATAAAATGTGTTAAAATGTTGTTCCTATGCAGGAAATACCAGGTAGAGCTCAGTTATAATTTTCTAGCGGTGCTCAGGAACATGTTCCATGTTTAGTTGAAGTTAATCACAACGATAAAGCTCATATGTCCCTCGGTGAAGATGTGTTAAAATGTTTCTATGCAGGAAATACCAGGTAGAGCTCAGTTATTATGCTGCTCATGTGGCCCTCGGTGAAGATGAGTTGGACACCCCTGCTCTTGCTGTTGATTTGAGGCGAGTTGGACATCTTGGAGTTAGTCCTCTCTGATTGTCTCATTCACTTTGTACACCTGACATGATGCTAACACCGCCGTGCTTCACAGCAGGTGCAGATTTCTTGTGCCTTCTTGTCACCGTGGTCTCATGATGGAGCGTTTATCAAAAGTTCCAAACACGTAAAGCATAAAAACTTATTAAAACTTTATTTGATGGTTTTATTGCAGCCAAGTTTGCATTAAAAAAAACAACTCCACTCACTATGACCCTGCTCCATTTTCAGCCAATCAAAGCTAATTGTAGGAATTATCTCCTCACTAATGTTGATATTCAGTCCTTACGGAGGTRCGTTAATGAGGGAGGGGGCTAAAGAAAACAGATGAGGACCACGGGGACGCCGGGGGAGGACGCCGGAGGGAAGCTGCAATGAGCCAGAGCGGGAGAAGAAAGAGGGATGCGCTCAGGAGGATGTCAAGACGCCGACTGCGAGCTCTGATGTCGCTGTTGCTTCTTCCTTCTGCGTCACAGAGCACTTCATCATAGGTGGGGTTTTTTTTTTTTTTACCCTCCACGTCCCCCCTTCTACTTCCACGCACTCCCGCCTCCCCGTCCCTGCCTCTCGGGCCCCCCTGCCGCAAACCTGATCTATTGGTTTTCCGCGGCGCGTGGAGCGATAAATCATGACAATGGGGGCCGGCGATGATTAGGTTGCGGGGTGCAGRGATGGAAAGAGGTAGAGAAGAGAGAGACGATGGATGGATCGGAGGGAGGGGGGAGCGGGGGTCTCTCGGCAGCCTCGTTGAGCAGCAGACAGGTTACTGATGGTGTTTGTTTCTCCGAGGCCCGTACCTGTGCAGGGGGCAGATTCTCCTGGGTCCAACATAAAGGAGCTATGGGTCTGCCGAGGCCCGACGCAGCCTTCGAGAACACATAAACTGAGCCAGAATTACCCAGGCGATGAGATATATATGGGCACGGCAGCATTTCTTATTCTGGCCATTATATCAGCTCTGCTGCCGAGACGAAGACGGGAAGGAGGAGGAGGAAGAGGAGGGAGGTGAGCCCACGGGAGAAGGAAACGTAGAGTTCTGCTGCATATTTTAGCCCAATTAAAACTTCATTTGTCTAAATGTGTGGACTTTAGCCTCGTTTAAGCCTCTCAGGAAGTGAAATTACCAAAATAAAAGAGCGAATAAACACTTTGGTTTGTGGCATTTTTAAAAAATGGATCGCTGCACCTTGTTTTGCCAAACTCCTGGGAATTGAGCTCCCTGTCAATTAYCGATACCCCCTCCTTCCAGATCTGATTGTTCGAACGCCGGGAGGAATGTTGATGAGATTTGAGCAAAACTTGAGTTTAGTGCCTCGTTGACAGAGATTTGCATCATTTAGCCTGTCACCCTCGTTCCCAGGTAACAAACCCCCCCACACACCGCCGCCACGTCTCGGGCAGAGGGAGAGGTACAAAACACAAACACAAGCAGGGGTGATAATGAACAAGCCTGTGTGTGACTGACAGCCAAAAAACAAGCCTTCCTCCTCCTCCTCCTCGCCTTTTCACGTCGTACAAGTCGTTTTTTTTCCTGCTCGCCCGTTTAATGGCTGCTCTCTGTTACTGTATGTTTCATCAGCGGCGCAGGGTGGCAGGTGGGAGGGATCCCGCCTTTTTGGAGGAGCGGGAGAGGGGCTTTTGTTTGCTTTAGTTTACACGGCTCGCTCGTTGTTTGTTGCATGTCGGCGTCGCCAGATCGGCGCCGTCATCGAGCCTGACAACTCCGTGTTTTCCAGGGAAGGAGGCGGAATCAAAGGTGGGGTGGAAGGGAAGAAAGGGGGATCCACGTGTTGTGCCTTCCAGATCTGAGACGGGTTTTCTTTCAAGGAGGGTTTTGCAGYGAGGCTAGCGTGGGCGCTAATGTGGGTGACTGTCTCCTCTTTCTTTGGGGCAGGAGGAGAACAGGGGGGTGTGGGGAGGGGGTACGGGATTACAGAGATGATCCCGCCATTCATCCTAGCTCTAAACAGAGCCCCGTCTTCCCTCCTCAAACCCTGCTAATTCCCTTTTGATGAGGCGTGCTAAATAAATCCTATTTCCACGCCTTTATTCCCCCACCGACTCCCGGGGCGCAGAGCGGGTTTTTCGGGGAGGCTTCTGCCGTCGTTCGGGGGCCCACAATGGCCCGCCGTCTGCACGGCGGGGGGAGGGGGGGGCACTCTGTCCAGTCGTCCTCATTAAGCTTTCACTCCAAACACACATCGGCTTCCACAGAAATACATCACAAACAGGCCTGACGACAAACACCGGACATCATGTCATGCACCTCAGGTCTGTGGTTGAGGAGTAAAAAAAAAAAGATGCTCCAGGTGTCCATGTCAGTGTGTGTGTCTGTGTGTCCATGTCAGTGTGTGTGTCTGTGTGTCCATGTCAGTGTGTGTGTCTGTGTGTGTGCGTGGCGTACACCTCCCTCCTGTCCTGTCGGCCCTTTCCACTCTCGCACGCTGAGCCCCCTGCGTTCGGCTGTGAGGCTAACAAGCTCCTCCGTCTCTCCCGCTCTGTCTGCGCCGGGCCCCGGTTATTAATGGGGACCAGCTGGGAGCGGTGACGGTACATGCACAACCAGACAAAGCCCCATATATAATCATAAAGTCATAACAAAYGACCTGATGTAAATGAGGATGAGAGGGAGGGGGGTTGGAAGAAGCCTCAGTTTTTGGAAAGAARGTCCAGGACCTGCTGTAAGAAAATGGAGACCTGTCAAACTCTCGTCTGCTCGGCTGCCTGACCTCTGACCTCAGCCTGGATTTGGGGTCAAGACTTGGCAATCGAGCCCCCATCTCTCTGCTGTGYGTTCAAGCAGAAGACCTCTTTGCCTCGCCGTCCGAACCTCGGTAAAACCGCGGTTTTGAGACGTCATCGTCGTGACGGGCGTTACTTTTTTAACGGGAGGTGAGGGCAGTGCTGGCTCTAGCTATTTTGGTGCCCTAGGCGAKTTGAAGCRCACMCCCCCTCCCCGAACTATGTCCGACYCACCCCAATTTAAACCCCTAAAAACAAGTTTGACASTGAAAGGTACKATGGTAAACWTAGATTTCTTTGCTTTCCCAGAAAGCAAATACAGTAAATAACAACATACATGTCAACTTGTAAGGATTGTACGTAAGTTATAAGAATTTTACATAATTTTGCAGGTATACAGACGTATAGGGCAATCTCACAGATTTTTTCAAGTCTTAAGGATTTTTTTCAAAGCCTTATTTTCAAAATTATCTAACATGTCAGAGCCTGTAGGATGATTTAAAAAACAATAAATAACATTAAATAGCCACCTTCCAACCTGTTCTGCCAGTAGAATTAAGTTTTGAACTTTTTCCGCTCTCCTTTCCCCTAGAGCAGGACGAGTCAGTGCAACGTCAATCAAATGAGAGAGAGGTGGGGGCGAAGGCTGCTTTGGGG